AAGGATCTCAGGTAGGTATCTCTCCATTTGTTTGATGGGTTCTCTATGTGAAGAATGCATATGTGTTTTGGGTTTTTGATGACGAGAAATCTCTTAACTTGTTCAATTTCTTGGTTAGGTCTGGTTCGTGTTTGTGTTCTCTGGATTGATCTGATTCTTAATCTTTTGTGGAAAATGTGGACTTGGTTTGTGTATCCGAATCAAATCATTAGAAAAATGCACATGGGTTTTGGGCATTTTTAATCTGTTAGTTTGAGATTTCTCTCATTTTGTTCTGGACTGCGAAATTTCTCTCTCATTGTTACGAGGTTCAGACAGTGATTTTTTTTGTTTTTTTCTTGGTTTTGTCCAGTTCGTGTCTCTTAAATTTTGTTCTAACAATATTCTCATATGTGCAAATATAAGTTGGATTGTGTGTTGAATTCGAAATCAATCGTTAGAAAGAAGCTCATTAGTCTTCTTACAGTGTTCAGACATTTCTTTCTCGATTTTTCGGTCTCTTGACTTGTTGTTTTCAGTATCACCATTCACCAATACTTTTTTTTTCTTAATCTACATTTTTGCACAGAAAATAATCAGAAAGGTTGTGAGAATGGCGGCAACAGCAGCTTCAAGCTTGCAAATTGCTACAAGAAGGCCAATCATTTCTTCCCCTTGCAGTGTTCTTAAAGCAGGAAACTACATTGTCGGTGTCAATCCTGGAAACGGAAACGCCTCATGGGATAAACTTACCTGCACTCGCCATTTATCAAACCTTGGATGTTTCAGAAACCACACTTCTCTTCCAACCTCTAAAAAACCCTTTTCCTTTTCCACAAAGGCCATGTCTGAATCCACTGACAACAAGGCTTCTTCTGGCCTTCCAATTGATTTGAGAGGTTGGCATATCTTTCCTTTTCTAATCATACCTTATTCATTACTTAGATGCTATTTGAACTAAGTCGCGGTAAATGGTACAGGGAAAAGGGCTTTCATTGCTGGTATAGCTGATGATAATGGATATGGTTGGGCCATAGCGAAATCTCTTGCTGCTGCTGGAGCTGAGATATTGGTTGGGACATGGGTTCCTGTAAGTGATTTTGTTTTTTTAATCCTTCTCATTGCTCTTTTCAGCTGCTTTTAGTTTTCTCAATTGCTAAATTATTCTAACCTTTGAATGGTCTACTAGGCACTTAATATATTTGAGACGAGTCTGAGACGTGGAAAATTCGACCAGTCACGTGTGTAAGGGCTTACAAACTGATGAAGTCTGGTTTCTTTGTTGGTCCATGCATATTATATATAATGAGACATTAATTTTCCATCCATCTATATTCAGGTTGCCGGATGGGTCATTGATGGAGATTAAGAAGGTTTATCCTTTAGATGCTGTTTTTGACAATCCTGAAGATGTGCCTGAAGATGTAAGGATATTAAGTGTATAGCTTTCTCATCATATGGAACCGTTAACATCCAAATTATTTCTTACCCAGCTATATTATACATTTTCAGGTGAAAGCAAATAAGCGATATGCAGGATCAGCAAACTGGACAGTACAGGTATAGATGCAGATATGTTTTTTATTCGTTCCAGAATCTAAGGTCAAAATGTATGATCATATCTAAAGCAAGACAAGTGTGTGTTTCTTCTTTAAGATTGCAGCTTATTCCCTTATCTGGCTTTTGTTGCTTAAATCAGGAAGCTGCTGAATGTGTGAAAAAAGATTTTGGAAGCATCGACATTCTTGTCCACTCCCTTGCAAATGGGCCAGAGGTAGACAACTTATATATTCTTACAGGAATTGTATTGTGTACAACTTTTTCTTAATGGTTGCACCTAAGTTTAGGTTAGCAAACCTCTTCTGGAGACATCGAGGAAAGGCTATCTCGCTGCTATCTCTGCTTCGAGTTATTCCTTTGTTTCCCTACTCAGGCATTTTCTGCCAATTATGAACCCAGGCATGTAACAAACTACCTATTGTCTCTTATTCTTTATAATTATGTTTTCTAATTTGTTTCTCTATGACGATTCAGGAGGTGCTTCTATATCTCTTACCTACATTGCATCTGAAAGGATCATTCCTGGGTAAGGGTTGCTTCACTGCTTTTCACATAATATTCAAGGAAACAAACTAATGTGCACATAGAACAATGGCCATGCATTCTTGTCTACACAGTTTTATTTCCTACAGGATTACAAGCATCCTTTTCTTTCTGTGCAGGTATGGTGGAGGTATGAGCTCTGCAAAAGCCGCTCTAGAAAGTGATACACGGGTGAGCTTTCAACTAGGTTTAATTAGTATTCATAAACAGAAAAAAATACATCAATTGTTTCTTAGTCCAACTATGTGTTCAACATAGGTGCTTGCATTTGAAGCTGGAAGGAAACAAAACATTAGGGTGAACACCATCTCTGCGGGTAATTGATCATTCACTCTTACGAGCCTAATCCTACAAATATTTAGGCTTTGGTATAAAAGAGTACTACTGTTTGAATTTCAGGTCCTTTGGGAAGCCGAGCGGCAAAAGCAATTGGGTTCATAGACACCATGATTGAGTATTCGTACAATAATGCGCCTATTCAGAAAACGTTGACCGCAGGTTCTTTTCCTTCAATCCAGCATCCTTCTGATTGAAATCATGTTATTTTCTTGAAACTTAAGACTCATAAATGGCAATGATGCAGATGAAGTTGGGAACGCAGCAGCCTTTTTGGCATCTCCACTGGCCTCTGCCATAACCGGTGCAACCATCTATGTGGACAATGGCTTGAATTCAATGGGTGTTGCACTAGACAGCCCTGTGTTCAAGGACCTCAACAGCCCGAAAGCTGATAAGTAGGGTATTAGTCGAGGAATGAACTCTCGACAATTCCAATTCATGAGTTTGATGTTTGTCTTTATGAGTAGTGTGTACGGCGTTGTTCCCCATCGGCTTGTCTTTGCTCCCTTCTTGAAGAGAATAATTTATGGTTCTAGGTTTGTTATTTAGCAACTATATGTAATAACTGATGAGACTACTTTTCCTCTGAAGATTGAAAATTTGCAAGCGAAGGAACAATCAAGTTTCTACTCTGTAGTGCTGCCGCATGCACACATAATGTTTTACTTCCTAAACAACTCTCGAGTTTGGGTACATTGAGTTTGTGCGTCTGAGCTTGAGTGGCACTGGGAACTATCAGTTTTCTACTCGGTGGTGCAGCCACATATGACCACATAATGTTTTATTTCTTAGATAACTCTTGAATTTGAATACATTGAAGTGGGTCTGAGTTTGAGTGCCACTGATAAACATCGTTATTTAGTGAAAAGGTTATTCTTGATCTTGAATTGATGTTCTAATTTGTGACAAGATAAACCAAAACCAAAGAAATATATTTGTCGCCTCCAATCGCGATCCGATTACAAGACTCAACCAAGCCGGTTTCCTCCAAACAGCTCAGATAAACATTTCATCCCTACCTGAGGCCAAATAGCTCAAGACCCAAAATTGGTTTCAGCCACTGTGTATCGGGAGTTCTTTGCGAGGTTATTCACTCAGCAGTATTTCCTCACCTTGTTTTGACTTGGAACTGTGAAGCTTTTTGGATCATTGCTGCATTTGGCTGCCGAAAACATGCTGAACAACCTCTTAGTTCTCACTTCTTACCCTGCAAACCTTAAAGAAGGGGATTCAACATGGCAATAATTTTGTATACAATAGAAACAACATTCACCAGATGATGCAATTATCTTCTATCTGAAACATGTAAACTTCAAAGTTTCTCAAATTCTGTAATCCTAATAAAGCCCCACAATGTGCCAAATCAAGGTGACGCAACTGGAAAAGTAACCGACAAAAGAGCTATTAGGAATAAAAATGTGGCCAAACATTTTTTATGACCGCATATTTACAAAGTTATGATTTGCATAGTTCTGTCCTTTTTTTTTGTTTATCAAAGTTCTGCCTATGCAATGCACTTAAGTCTCCAAAATAAAATTAGGATCTAGTGAATCTACCAAAGCATTGAAAGGAATGTGAACCGATGCTTACTATGAGTTTTTCTCTGTTCGTCTTCCCTGCTTTAGTTATGCCTAATATGTGAAGAGAATGCATGATGATAGAAAAACCAATGTACATGAATATTGAATAAAAAGCCTAGCAGGCAGCCACAGTTGCATTGGTCGTTTTCGTCTCTAGAGGTGCTACATCATTACTTTGGCCTTTTACTGCTATCTGGTTTAGGTGATAGGCCTCCTTAGCCATTCCAGCCTTAAGAAGACAAGATAACAAAGAGCTCACAGTAATCTTATCAGGTGAACAACCAATTGCCACCATTTTGTGGAAAATGCTGACTGCTTCACACATCCTTCCTTTCATGCAATGCCCAATTATAAGAATTGTAAATGTGATCTTATCTGGTTTGCATTTCTTTTTCTCCATCTCTGCCACAATAACATTCGCCTCGTTGACCTTTCCAGCTTTACAAAACCCATCAATGACAGGATTGTACATAAATGGTTTTGGGATAATGTCCTTACAAGCTAACTGCCTTAAAAGCTCACGAGCCTTGAGCAGCCTATTCTCTTTACAGAGCGCATTGATAAGAATAGAATAAGTGAAGGCATTGGGAAGCATTCCTTTGGCAGTCATTTCTTCCCAAAGTCTAAAGCCTTGGTTCACTTGTCCAGCTCTGCAGTATCCATCAATCAAGGAAGTGAAGGTCACAACATCTGGGAAACAGCCAAAGGAATCCATTTTCCCTCGAATGACTTCAGCAGAAGGCATTTCACCAGCTTTCACATACCCATCGACGAGAACATTAAAAGTTATATTAGTTGGGTACATTCCCAAATCAACCATTTCATCTAACAGCAGAGATGCTTCTTGCATCTTTCCAGCTTTGCAGTACCCTGACATCATGGAGGTATAAGTAACAACATCTGGAGAGCAACCAGTTTTCAACTTAACGTCGCTAAATATCTCGTTTGCTTTGCTTAACTCATTACTCTTGCAAAATCCCATAATCAGAGTATTATACGTGACGATGTCAGGGGAACAGCCAAAACAACTCATCTCACCGAAAAGCTCTAGGGCTTTATCAGCTTTTCCTATGCCACACAAGCCTCGAATCAGAATGTTAAACGTCCAAGTATCATTACAAGACTGAGATCTCAGATGTTTATCGAATAGGTTCATCGCATCTTCCACACGATCCAACCTCACTAATGTGTTCAACAAACAGTTTACAACCGTAGAAATTCCTTCAACCTCATAAGATTGAAGAAGCAATGCAGTAGCGAAATGAAGGTTACCCTTTTCAGCGAAGGAAGACACCAAAAACCCTAATAAGCGACTATTGGGAGAAACACCATCACTCTTCATACACTCAAACATCTTCCCGGCCAAATCGTGTAAACCAGCTTTACAAAGCGATCTAGTGAGCAAGTTATAGGTCCAAAAAGAATGGCGAATATTAAGCTTGAATCTGCTAAACTCCCAGAACCGAAACCCTAAGTGAGGATTGTCCAATTTCTTAACAACCTCAAAGGCGATAAAAGGATTGAGATTCTTGCTGAGGTAGCAGAAACAGCCATCGGAGTCAGGAACCCTATAGACGAACAAAGTAGAGACGATTTTGACTAACCAAGCTTCGGGGCAATGGATGACCTCTCGGGAATTGCTCTGTAGAGGACGAGCTTGAGCTCCTCCATGAGTGTGCGTGTGGATAAGGGCAATGGCGGTGGAGAAGGAGGCTCGAATCATAACGGCTCGGCGATTGCGATTTGGGAGGAGCTAGGGCTTGTTTTCGTCAACCTCATTTG